CACAGTGATGCCGGCAGCAGCTGAGTTAGTGGAAGCGTATTAGTTGACCTTACTGAACAACTTTGTCCCTTGCCTTGTCCCTTGGTTGCCGCTTGTCGTCGAGCCGCCTGCAAAAATACAAAAAGAAAGAAAAGGATTCAGACGTTGATTTCTTATTCTTCAGTTACACATTTTACGATTACACATGATACCACACTTAGCATCAAGCAGAATATTTATATCGTAATACATCTTACACATCCGTACAGCTATCTGCTAAGACTATACTGTGTCTCTTGTAGACTAATTAATTAATGAACTCTGGGTGCTCTGGGACTTTCCTAATAAAGCTCTGACATCATGGTTTAAAATAAGCCTCCTGACAGTCACCATAAAAGGTTAAAAATGACCCTCGGTGAATAAAAGGAGTGAGGTCAGGCACCAATGGGGTGAGAGCGCTGATCAGTACAAAACATATTCTGAAGTTGATGACCAACTGAAACCACATCAGCAGCATGCACAGTCATGATGAGTGGTTACAGATCTGTTTATATATTAGTCTGGTCTAAATATTCATCAGTGACTACTGAGTGGAGCCGTGCACCTTATTTAGACTGCCAACACATCTGTTGGTCACATTCAGTTACGACATCACCTCACTTTAAATGACTCATTTGACTTGTTAGAAACATGACAGGAGGAATATTCTAGAAAATAAATGTACGGGGGGGGAAAGCTCTGTGTATTGAAGTCACTTTGCACTTCACATCTCCTCGTCTGAATAGGAACAGAAAGTGTGTTATTAAAGTTGATTGCTGCGGTGTTGGTAGAGGCTGCTGAGTAAAGAGTCCATCAGTATTAACTCATCCATTCATACACATTCACACGCTGATGGTAGAGGCTGCTGAGAGTCCATCAGTATTAACTCATCCATTCACACACTGATAGAGGCTGCTGAGAGTCCATCAGTATTAACTCATCCATTCATACACATTCACACACTGATGGTAGAGGCTGCTGAAAAGAGTCCATCAGTATTAACTCATCCATTCATACACATTCACACACTGATGGTAGAGGCTGCTGAGTAAAGAGTCCATCAGTATTAACTCATCCATTCATACACATTCACACACTGATGGTAGAGGCTGCTGAGAGTCCATCAGTATTAACTCATTCATTCATACACATCCACACACTGATGGTAGAGGCTGCTGAGAGTCCATCAGTATTAACTCATTCATTCATACACATTCACACACTGATGGTAGAGGCTGCTGAGAGTCCATCAGTATTAACTCATTCATTCATACACATACACACACTGATGGTAGAGGCTGCTGAGTCAAGAGTCCATCAGTATTAACTCATCCATTCATACACATTCATAGGAGTTTGACGTGACTCGTTCATAACCCTTGTGTTACTCTTACCCTCCTTGCTGACACCCAGGCAGCCTTTCAGCTCCTGCAGGGAGATGGCTCGGTCCTTATTCAGGTCACAGTAGTCGGTGAACTTGCGGGCGCATTTCTTGGGTTTGGCCTTCTTCTTCAGGTACCTTTTAAAAGGCTTCAGTTCTTTCTTGTTGATGTCGTGGCTGCTGTTGTTGTCCAGCTGGGCGAAGTACCAGTGCACCACCCTCTCCTCTAGAGTGTGGCTGGGATCAGGCTCGACGAACCTGGGAGGAGTCAGAGGCACAGAGGAGTAGATGGATGAGTGGATGGATAGAATAATCTATTGTCTTTGCAGTGCAGTACAACAAAACTATATGGCTGCCCTTATACAATCACACTTTGCATATTTGACCTTTCCACACACAGAATTGGTGAAGTTGGGGAATCGGCTCGTGGCTCTACTCTCACTGCGAGTGTGTGCAGTCGTAACTAACTTGAAAAATGCCAGAAAATCATCCGCCTGGTCGGGAGCAGCAGAGGGAATCACTCCCATCACTCTGCTAGCATTAACGTCATTTTCTGTTATTACGTTTTGAATAAGAGCCCCCTGGTGGCGGAATTTAAATACTGTGGGTTTAACATCAGAATTAGAACACTTATTGTTTTTTTCTCCATTGCCTCTCAGGGCTTCTGCAGGATCACAACTTCATGTGCAAAAAGGGATTCACACCTTGATACCTTAACTGGTCTCGTTTTATCACAAACTTGTAATTTTTACAATTCATCCTGCAGAGAAATCCTCTGAGATCAATGTTCTGCTTATCTTTGCTAAATAGATTCAGCATTTATGGGATTGAGGAGCTTGGTGTGCATTGATATAACCCAGCTTTAATCCCAAAAACCTTCCAGTCCCTTTGGTGTATTTATTTCTACACTGATAAAAAGAACCCGAAACCGCATCAGCGTCTGTTCCAAGATCTGTGCCTCGCACATCAGAAATAAAATACCACCATTCAATTAAGTAAACCAGAGAAGATCATTTGAGTAAAAACCAGAAGAGGTTGAAATCTTTCCATGCACAATCAGCCGTTATGTTCCGGCTCACGTTCCAGGTCTCAAGTTGTACTTACCTCCCACCACCAGAGGGGGCTGGTGAGTTTATGGCTTGCACCATGTCTGTGGTGAGGGCATCTAACAAGCTGGTGATGAATTCCACTTTCTTCCCCTCCGGGCAGCCTGGCATAAATCAGAGACAAGAAAAATACACCAGAATTACCTTTCATGATTGAGTCATTACTGAGCAGTGAAGCTCTAAAACCTCCACAGAGTTCAACACTAAACAGCTGTTACACGGTGTAAATCAGCACGCTAACTCTGTCTAATGCTAAATATCAAACATGGTGTCTGTTAACTGACTTATGGTGCCAATACTTTTTCTAATACCACATGTTTTTAAATGATACAATTGTTAATTTAATAATCGACAGTATCAAAAAAACGTCATCTCTTTATAAGAGAGTAGCGTCGAAAAGGAATGGATCCATCAAAAATGGCAGGCAAACTTCTGCACACCGTCCAAATTGCACAAAAACATTGGCAGCGTGTCAATGTGTCTGTGCAATTCAGATAGTGTGCAGGAGTTTGTCCACCATTTCTGACAATTTAAAAGGAGAAATGAGTCGATGTATTTTTTCTAGGACTATTTTTGTGCCATTGTATCAAAACAAGCAAAATTTTCATTTATTTTCTCCCAGTATCAAATGGAAGCTCTGGTATCGATACTACCCTAGCTCATGATATCTGATGAATCATGATGTATACATTTAAATAAAGGTTAAAAAAACGTTGTTTGGCGGTTTTGTAAGAGACGAGAGGAGCTGAGGCACATGGCGAGGTGGAACAGAAGTGTGCGGTGATGAGAGAGTTTTGTTGAGCAGTGCAGACTTGTTAACTTTTATGACACAATTCTGAACACCTTGGGTAGCTCTTTTTAATTGCCCAGATGTATGGCTTAATAGCACGCTAAGCCAGTGCAAATGTTTCCCTCCTAATTGTGTCTCTTAAAGGGAAACTTCAAACGCAGCTGCGCGGTAAACTAATCTTCTCATTCTTTTTTTTCATCACTCCTTCTTCCCTCGTTCAGTCTTTCTTAGCGGATCCCCTCCTCCTCTTTCCTCTTTGCGTTTGTGGCCTCCTTGTTCACGTCTTTTCATTTGGGGGGGGGTTGTGTTTGTGGGAGGTTCCGTCGCCCCGCCAGGTGAATCCAATTAGCATTTCCAACGACACGACAAGCTCTGAGAAGCTCTGCCTTGCTGCACCTTAATCCAAGTGTTAAATTGGGGTTGTGAAGCGCAGACGGTGGGGTTGTGTGCAGCCTATATGGCCCGTGGAGGGGGGGATGATACACAGTTTGGACCAAGTGTTCTGACCCTTTAATCAAACACTGAGCTGACCTAAACAAGCTCACCTGTCAATCAGGTCAGCTACACGCCTTATTGTGAATAAAGTCATCAAAACATTCACCCCCCGTACAGTGTGTGTCCATCCAGACATGAGCTAATCACACCTATTGGTTTTTTTGAACCAGGCTGTAAACATGTTCATCTCTGCTGTAAAAACAGGCTTTTTAGAATGGGTGTGTATGTGACTTCCTGTGCTTCTGCCAGCCAGCCTCTAGTGGACACTCCAGGAACTGCAGGATTTTACACTCCAGCATCGGCTTCACTTTTCAACACTGGAGGTTCCCACTTAGTGCAAATACCTGGGGCCACTAACCACTCTGTGGAGGGAGACAACGTCCATGTTTCATACATTTTGCTCCTCAAACTTGTTCTTTATTATTTTAGGTAACTCACATAACTCAGGACTTTTGTGTATGGTAGTTAAATATCTAAAAACATTTAAACGCTCTCTGACTAACAACAGATTGCAGCGCAGACACAGTTCTGTTCATACTACGCATGTTGGTGTCTGCATGTGAGGATGTGAGTCACACCTGTGCAGTGTGCCGGCTCATTCAGCCCAATGAAAAGAACAGATGGCGACTTTAACATCGCTCAGAGCCTTGCTGCTTCATAGATGCAGAAAGTTGTAATTTGGCGTTATTGTGTGGAGCGGTTTACTTACCACAGCAAATAGTTCCTCCTCTGTGTTTAGCTCTGAGTGCACTAAAGGATCGAGGATGCTGCAGTAATATCTGAGTCTATGATTGGTTGATTAGTGAGACTAGATAAGACCAAACTACTTATTTACCAACGGTTTTAAAATCTGGGTTTTGAATAGTTCCTGATCTGATTTCACGTGGAGCCAACAGATCCCAGTCTTTGGTCTCAGAGAGGATCTGCTCCCTCTGACAAAGCCGCTATTGTGGCGCTCTGTGTACAGTAGGATTGAACCTGTAGCTGCACGCCGTTCATACTCGGCCCCTAACCCTTCTGTTCTTCTCTGCCTTGATGTGACGACCATAAATATTGAGCTTTGTTGTGGCGCCTCAGAACATCCCTCTACAGTACAAAAAATATCTTCACCAGCACCCTGTGGTTTCCAACACCCCAGCAGCCCCCCCACCACCACCACACCCCGCAACACTCACACCTTCCATAAAACATGCCACACATCTGCTGCACAGTCAGGAGTCATGCTCGACTCTGTAAACTCTCCAGATGGGAATTAAATAAGAGTTACAATGCAAACCTTAAATGATGGGAAACAGAAAAGCAACAAAAAGTAAGTGAGCAGTGAGACGGAGGAGAACGAGCTCGGGTTATGACCTCCGCTCAGAGGAGAGTCTCTGTCTTTGCTGCCTGGATCTGAACACATGCGGTCGTTTGCTGGATTATAATCCTGTCTTCAGCGCGGAGAACCAGGAGTCAGAGATTTAAAAACAGAAAGTCAAATTTGGACTCTTCAGACTTCAGGACAGTTTTCTACTTCGCCTCAGTCCTTCTTAAAAGAGTCCGCATCAGAGAAGGCCAGCAATCTTTCTGGATCTGATTTATACAGTTTACTTTTTACTGCATGTTGGAGTTCAGAGATGAACCGTGTTCACAGACGATGGTTTTGGAAGTCCATGTGTGCATTGTGAACATTCAGCGCCACATTTTTTACTCCCACTTTACCCAGTATTTTTTCCGCCAGCCTCCTGGTAAATGTTCCTGGTGAAGTTGGCTTGATAAAATATTCAGGAAAATGGACTGCGAGCCAGCGGGAGGGTTGATAATCTGCAACTGGCACACAACCATAGATTGTAAAACGTGTAAACAATCTCCGCTCAGGAAACGAAACAGCGTCTTTATGTTTTCTATTTGTTGATATTGTGATTTTGTCAAAAGGCAAATATTCTCACTCTGTTGCTCCTTGTCCACCAATTCCACGTCGTTCATTCACAATTCCCCCAACAGTAAATCTGTTCTCATTGCAGACTGTATGTGTAGTGCATGAAGTCAAAGACAGGAACAGCGACAGTAGAATTAACATTTAGCTAATTAGCATTAGCGTGAAAAACAAACAAAGTGCACCAAAAACAAATCGATCGCTTTGAAACTGAAGCGTACCTGTCAGGTCTCTGCCCTGGAAAGATCCTCTGTGTCAGAGACTCGAGATCGGCAGCGCCGTCACACTCGGGCGTCTGGTACCTGTTACACAACAAGGAGCTTTGAGAGCAGGAAACAGCTGAATAAGGAAAGAATAATAACTGAAGACTCAACATTAAAAAGGTTTTCTGTTTTTCTTCCAGGCTTCAGAACGATCTGACGACAAGAATTTCTATCTTCATTTAAAATGTGTTTATCTTCCTAAAACGACACACTTTGTTTATCTGTGCAGGATTATTGATGTCTTTTTAAACGCTTGAAAAATAAATTTGACGTGTCACTGAGTTTGTATCGGAGCCATCACAAACTGTTCAGCATTACGCGTGGCATGACTCGTTTTCTCCTGGCTTTTGTGCAATGCTTCTTGAACAGGATGGAAAACTGAGCATGTGTAATCTCATTTAGCTTTAAAAAAAGAAGGAAAAGCAGTTGTCATTTCACAGTCTGCAGGGCCCGGATCCAAGTGGGATGTGTGATGCATGATTCTGCACATTGCTGTCCAGAGGAAAGAAATTAGAAGAGTGACGTGAGGTCTAGTCAGAAATATGTGGATTCTTCTTATTGTGGAAATAATTGCTTCAAGGTTGTCTTTTAATATATCTGAAACGCAGATGAGAATGATGTCAGTATGTTTCACTTCCTTCAGAGTTTCAGGTCCTGCAGATTAATTACAAACTGACATCTCTGAATGTAAAACCGAACCTGTTTTATTTTGTTCAAAGCGTAGGCAGCCAAACCTAAACTAACATTTTCTGACGGAGAAGTCTGAAACCTCGTCCTGTAAAACATAAACCGCCATGTGAAGAGAGAATAATGATGCCTCTTCAGGAGCAAACACAGCTCATCTATTTTCTCTGCTGCAGGCATTCAGTCTTTTAAACATGGAGCACTTTGTCTCGTTCTTTGTTTGAAGCTGTTATAGCTGAATATTCATGATCGAGATGCTACCCAGGAATACTTCTTAAACAACCAAAACGTTAGCAATGCGTATCATTATCTCAAAACTTTTCTGCTGTCTAATCTCATCTCCTGTCCATGAAGCTATCGCAAATGCCTCTGCCATTTCCCCTGAAGGGAACATAAACAGCAGCGAGCACTCTGAACACACATGTCATACCAAACATTCAGTGTTTACGTTGGCTAAATAATATTCCTATCTGGGCTTAAGGCTAATTGTTTGCCAAATACAAAAGACCGAACAGATGCTTGGATCCCGAGGTCGTACTACAGCTGCCATTTTTTATTTGAAATTCCAACATTCATTCAAAGTAGAAAATTCACATTTGAACTGTAATGAGACGTTTGAATTCTAAATATTCAGTTTATCAGACCGTCTGAAGAGTTTGCAGTTTGATCCAGCAGAGGGCGCTCTCAGAGTAACTTGACTATTTCATACTCTCTTGACGTCAGTAAATGAAGACGGTAATGTTGAGGCTAAAACAACCGGGGGACTAGTCTGTCTGCAGACAACAGCTCACTGATTGGTGGAGAGACACGGGTCGCTACAAACCCGCAACTCTCCAAGCTGGCTCGCAAATATTTCTGTACATGTGTTCGCTCTAACGAGTGTTCTCTTCAGCTCGTGCACTCAGTCAGGTTCAATACCAAGAGGTTTGACTTTTTCTTGTGCGAGCATCTAATGCTGACTTCTGCTCGTTCTCTCTGATAGGCTAAGAAATCCAATGAGTCAGACTCAGACTTTAAAGTCTTATATGTGATTTTCACACTTATTGTAGAAATCAAGTCTATCCTCTAAAATAACTCTGTGAGTCATGACTGTCTACAATGGTGAACACCCGAGTCCCACTGTCTCATGTTTTCAGAGTTTTCAGAGTCCTATCTTCAGTTTGTTTACATCGCCCGGACGGCCGCTGACTCCTCCCCTCGTGTATAAAGTTGTTTAATTGAGACTAGAGAAAGAAGAATAACATACTTACTCACTGCTTCACTGTGTTCTAGATCACGCTCATTTCAGGTAAATTTACATGCAGTGTGAAAGTACCAGCATAATAAAGATCGCTAGCATTAGCATGCTAAACACAACAATGCACCGCAAGTTGTTTTGTTCGCTGTGCTCAAGGCGACATCTGCTGATCAAAAAAATCACATATTAAAGCCTTTAATCCAGGACAATCGTTCAAAGGGATGTAAACGAAGTGTTAACATTGAAGATCAAACGCATACTATTTTGGTTGAGAACCAAAACTACTCGGGTTGTTTGGACATTTTGGGTTCTGCACTTTTCTGTACTGTGCTCTCTCGTACTTGAAAGACCTGAAG